GTTTGCAATTGGATAATTATATTTTTTATTTTGTTTTAGTTACAAAACCAATATCTAGACAAGGCAGTGAAAAGCAAGAATTCAAGACTAAATCACCATTGTCTAAGCTCTCCATCATTACTCGCTTGACACGCAAAAAGGTGGGTGACATACAGGATAATTACACGTTGGCGCGAAGATATGAATGTTATTTTCGAGTGGTAAAAACAACATTTTACAAGTGAGAGTAGCGAAGAGACGAAGGTAGAATGTTTTTATCAGGAGAAAATAGAATTCATATCTTCAAGCCAACGTGTAATGTTCTTTTTATTATATGGACAAACTGAAGCGACAAGAAGAAATGAGCGGGAAAGTTGTTTTTATTTGACGCGTCCGTACATCCGCGACATTTTGGTACATTACTTTTTCATATCTTCACTATAAAAATGAAAATATGGAAAATACGAGGTGTTTAAGCTTCAGGTAAAACACGTCTATTAACCATATAATAAATAATTCTATGATACAAGCGAATTCTTCTACTTTGTAATGGTCTTTTCTCTAATAACTAACTCGGAAAACCTGGTGTTCGTACTACCAGGAGTAACACCCCTGGACATGACGCCTGTTGGAGAATGTTCTTGATTCGAAATTAAAAATGGCTGCATACAAATTGATCAGCCAATCAAAAAATTCGATTAAATCTATTGTCCAGTGAAGGACAAGCTTAAATTGAAATCGATCACATGTTGGTTTGATTGTAAAATTTCTTGAAAAATCTCATGATTTCTTGGAATGAGAATCGAACGACATTGGTTTCCCGAGGATGTTCTGACGACATCATGTGTTATGGCGATATGAAAGATTGAAAAAGAAAAAAACGCGGAGTTTTACTTACTTTATATTGCATTTAGGAGAAAAGAAAAAATGTAAGCAACAATGGAACTGTTTCATCTAAAAAAAGCAAAAAAGCAAATGAGGTAAGAGTATTTGTGTTTTTAAAGAATCATAACCAACCGCCGTATTATTGCGCGCTCGTATTATTGTTTACATACCTTTAAATGCGTCAAGCATACAATAGATTATAGATTGATAGTACCTGTGAGGTACTTAGTTAAAGGTATTTCTGTCCAAATTGAAAGGAAGGAAGACGATTCGCGCTCACTTTAAGGAATCCTTTGAATTCGCCATTTTCGTGTCCACCTAAAATAGCGCTTTGGCTCGCAAGGTACGGCGGTTGGTTATGATTCTTTAATATCAAATGCTAAATATATATTTTTATATAAAGTCAAGCTTTTGCTGTTGTACAGCGTCATCAGGAGTCCCATCTAACAAAAGTATCTGGTCGCAATTGCTATATTATTACTCTCTAGAAATTATTGTTTTAATCACGTTAATGAGATCACGAGTAACTAAACACGCCTTTCATTTAAGGAAAATACTCCACCAGTCACGCCAAATACTCCTGTTGATACACCAATGTTTACAGAGACGCCTAAAATAGACGAAACCGYTGCCAAGGCTAAAWTACCACCAAAGACCAGCAACCGAATTAGTATGCTGGCAGAGCAAGTATTTGGTACTAAAGAGGGTAGTACAGTGGTGAGTTTCGCACTTCAGGACAGCTACCTACTGCCTTGGACAACACTCATACTGCTATATATATATAAAACTCATATTTAAAGTCTGGTAACCA